AGTACCTTGCATATATACGTATAAATATATGCACTAATTTTGAAACGATTATCTCAAATACTTATGCTTCAAGAAAATCATGAAGATTGACCCAAAACAGGCAAATAAAAAGCCTACCCCCTTAAGTTCAGAACAAATTAAGCAAGACAGTCGTAAATTTACCAAAATTCTATATACACAAGTATAAATAAACAAACCAAATTTCAAGAGTTTATGTCAACTACTTATACTCCAAAAATATCACAAAAGTTGTCCTCGAAACTGGTAAATAAGAACTTTACAATCTTAAGACGTAATTTCGAAGCAAATTGAAGCAGAACAGCTGGAAATTTACCAAAATCTTGTGCCTACATGTAGAAATAAACACGACAAATTTCAAAACTTTATGTCGACTACTTCGGCTGCAAAGAAATCCTGGAAATTGCCAGGAAATCGGTAAAAAAAAATAGGAGGACCCCCTTGGTGCGCGAGGATGCAGGATCTCTCCCAGAGCAAAAATAGGTTAACGAACCAGCGATCGATTCGCAGGAGAGCCCAGCGACCCTCGTCGTTTTCCATTTTACAAGACGTGGCCAGGCGCCAGGAGAGCTGGTTGTTTCGCCTGCACGTCGACCGGTTTAGCTTCACCAGGCTGGGGTATATCGATCTCTGGTGAGGCCAAAGATCGTCCTGCACGAAAGCTTTCTGGCGGTCGAGTGGGGCTTCAGGGCCGTACCACGGGGCTCGACGCCACCTGCGACGACCTTGACCTACGGGGTTTCTCTCGCGCCGGCGTCGCGTCCTCTGCCTCCTCCCATCGCTTTCGTCTGTTCTGTTCTCTCTTCAGCTTCTTCGAAGGCGGCGTCTCGACGTCCACCATCTCGCTCTGTCCTGCTTCGACGTCGGTGGTCATGTTATCAGTCGATCCTCGTCACTTTCTCTACCCCCTGAGCCTCGTGTTCGCCACCCCCCTTTCTTTCCTCGAGTCGCACGCTTTCCAACCATATCCCCATATTTCTTCCAACATGCTTGCTTCCACCTTTATTCTTCATTTAAGCTTGTTGGCCGCGATAAGGAGGTGGAATTTAAATTTTTTAGGAGGGGTTGCTCCGCGAGAAAGGGATGTAGATGTAGGGTGGCGTTGGATCGAGATGTCTCGGAATTTTGCGACGATCCTGCAGAGGTATGTCAATGTTAAGTATATCACGGTTGAGTTAGTTTGTTTAGGTTTGATGGAAATTCAGTTTGGCGTTGGTTCAGGGGATAGATCAGTTTTGTGACGATGACGTAGAGCTTTTAGTGGACAATTTAAGTTTTTTGAGAACGTATTATGTTACTTCCACATTGAATCTGTTTTTGGTTTAGATTCATCAGGGATTAAATGTACATATGTCTGGACTTAAGAGCAACTCAAAACTGATATTTGATCGTGGAGAATTTAATCTCTCTGCTGACGAATTATTTTTCTACAATTTAACGAAAACACAAAGCACAATAGTTATGACGTTACAGCCATGATGGTTCGTTAGAAATTTTTGATTGTATTTCTTCTCGATTTCAATGAATCATCGCAAACATAATCTAGACCTAATCCAGGTGTAATGGTGGAAGATCTCTACCGAAGTACTGAAATTTAATTTCAATGGACCACAACGCTTCCAAAGACCAATTATACAACTAGAATAATGCAAAATTCAAATCGATATTGATCCAAGGCAGCTATCGATTCCCTCATCTCGTATGATGTACGTTTGAAGAAACGATACCCCCGAGGAACCAATTATAGTGCACGAAATAACTCCTCGAACAGTATATAGCGAAAATGCATTATGTATTATCAAAATATTATTCGTCGCAAGGTCAGAGGTTAAATAAAAATTCAAACCAATATCGATGCACGACATTTATAGATCATGCGACGATGAGGTCACGTTATACCATTGGGAAATTCAATCATGAATATTTATTCGCAACTTTAATGGTTACTTCCACGTTCCGTAAGTACTCAAAATAACTTGGGAATTGAGCGCACACGAGGGTGCCAGTACCCTCGAAAAGACTAATTATGAATATTTATTCGCAGGTTTAGCGGTTCCATCTATGTAACGATATTTAGAATATCTTGAATCACTTAAAACTTTGAAAGGGCAAATGATCGTGTAGTATTTCAAAGGACATTGAAAGGAAAACTATAGTGACCTTATCAAAGACATTCTTACTAGTTTAATAATTACGAATGCATTATCAAGCCGTTTATTCAATACATTAACTTTTAATTCTGTCAATAGTGTTGATAGTAACTTAATTAGTTAGAAAAAAATTTTAACTGATACAGTTACTACTAGTGGCGTATAAAGTTTGAGGTTTAATTTATATAATCCATTTATAACAAGTTTCTTACACACATGGAATGGAATTACTCAAGAAAGATTACTTTAAATTATTTTCCCTGATGAATATAGTACATCTCGCTTGCACTGCGTGTTTGGGGGATAAAAATAATATATCGTCAAGTAAAGGGTTAAACTCAACGTTCCGGATAAGGGTCGTCGATGGCTCCGTACAAGGTTGATTTTTTTATGGTATTGCAGGGCCACACTGGCTCACATATATTGGATTGATTCATAAATAACTTTCGTTTTTAAATTAAAATTAGTTTCCAAATATATTATTACTTAATAAGTCTTAATAAATTGTGTAATTACTATCGTTGATTATCACTTGTTTCTATTCAGCAAATTAAAAATTGCTATTTATAGAGTGTTCCTTGAAAGCATGATTATTCATTATCTGCAGCGAAACTTAGTTATGAATCAGCTCAATAGAGCCAAATTGGACTTTAAAAACGAATACAGAAATAATCGATAAGCCTATTAAAATAGAAATATTCCTTTTATATATATGTTTTTATACTTTTTTTACACTTTTAGTCCAAGTTTTGGTGAATGGATAGAGTCCATCCTTGCTACACTTTCTTATGAATTCCAAAATCCTCTCTATCTATTATAGTACATTAACGATTTTGTTACCTAGATTTTGTTGTATCATCGCAAGATTATTAAGGATTCAGGAACAATTCTCATCTTGTTTTCTAATTTGCCCCTCGCTGAATTCGTTACTCGGATTTCGTCTTTTGTTCCGCGAGTTTTAAGGATTCTCTGATTGCCTCTCGAGTTCTTTCGTTCTTTGTTCTTGCTTCGTGCTTCACGGTTTCATTATTTACGCCTCGGCGTTACTACACCCTGAATACAAGATTCTTTCGACATTTCACCGTCATCGGTAATCTCGTTTCCACCATCAAATATTCTCAAACGCAATCAGATGCAAAATATCTCCTTTCGCGGTATCGCGATTCGAGTTTCCAAATATCTCTGCTTTAGCATTTCTGGCGACCAACGGAAAGAGAAATTTCCTTCCCAGGATTTCCAAGTTTTATTCTTGAAAGCTTCTAAGTGACTGCGAATTTCCCTTGGATTTCCTTAGAGCTACCTTATGCAGCTACTTCAGAATTTCTCCGTCTACGCTGTCCCACGCTCTTTACCTTTCCATTCTGCTGGTAATCCGAACTCTATTTCTCGAGCCTCCTTCCGTTTTTCGATGAATCGATTCACCGTTTTCGTTCCGTCTTCGTGAAAATCGCTCCTCGAGTCGAGCGCTCATTTCAACGTCAGCCCAGGCATTTAAGTAATTTCGTGGAGTTTGCTCTAAATTAGGACCTGCTGCATGCTCGGCGTGCCAAAACAACAGCGACCGTAGCTGAGGAACGTCCAGCATTGCCAGGAATAATTATTAAGCGTAAATTAGCCGTTCGAGCTATTCTGTAGAAGTCGTGTTCATTTGTAGAGTGATGCACCTTTATTTATAATTAGTATATGCACAAGTGTTTAGGTACACTTTCTCTTGAGACTTTCCCTGTATATTTATTATAGGAGTACAACAAGTAGCCCATGAGAATCGTGGTAATTCATACATCTTTCATGCTTGACGGTCATTATTCTGTATTGCCAATTCATAGATATCTAGCTGATCCAAGTAATCTTCTAAGCAACCCAAACAATTCAATGGAAATACTGTATATTCTTTTTTTTTAGAATAATACATAAGAATATATGTAGTAGGTACTTCACAAAAAATTATGAGATCTTTATACTAGCTCCAATATGTTTCAATTTGACAATTGGATCCACCTTCACAGATATTTACTTGCCAGTTCTAATACTGATATTTATGACTACTGTTTTTTCAGATTTATTCTATATATTAACTGTAAAAATTTATATGGTAACTTCTGTATCCTTTCCTATATCTTATCAAAGATCCACCCCCGCAGGTATCTACTCGACAACAGCAGTCTTCTGCAGCAGCCTAAGCAAGCAACCAATACAACTCTAAAAGAGATACTTATGGGTGCTTTTTTTGTGATTTATTATATATACTAACTGTACGAACGTAGTAGATACTTTATGGAAGTTTGTGAAATATGCTAGTGTATTATCAAAAGTTCATCCTTATATCTACCTAACAGTAGCAGTTCTCCGAATAGCCCAAGCAATTCAATCCTAATACCCAGATATTGAAGTATGACCCGTTGCTCACCCAGTGCATCAATAACAAGAGTCCAACAAGTAGTTCATCGAAACCCACGAAGTTTACACGCTAGCACCCGCATGCTTCAAGTTTGGCGCCCTCTAGTCGATACCCTAGACCCTCAGCTACCCTCGCAACGACCTCAGTAACTAATTACAGAACTCCACGTTCCAGTTTCTCTAATTTCCAAGATGCCACGGGGTGAATCAAACATTTGGAAACGTTTCATCCCCCGGTCGAACATTTAAGTCAAATGTTGCTTGGTAACGATCAATCCTCGTCGTGAGATACGAGGGTAAATCAAACACTCGTCAGAACCCGCGGTGGTGGACCTCTGTCACCCCTACAGCGATAGAGAGCCCATCCATCCCCACCCTCTGCGAGCGACCGGACCAAGGCAACCCCATCCCCCTCTCTTGCGGAGCACGCTTCTGTCTAGAGCGTCCCGACCAGCGGAACCAGTCGCAGTTTGAACCCCCTAGGACGTCGATCGAGGAGCCGATATTTCCTGGAAGCAGGCACCTGGGCACGAGTCGAAGGATCGTGCCGTAACCCTTGGCCATGAGCTCGGCCCCGGAAGCATGCAGGTGGGTCGCTCGATGACATCAAACGCGTCCTGTTTCCGCGCGACCAGGTCGCGTCACGGTTCCTCCTGGTCGAGTTCGACGGGTCAGTTACTGGGGTGAGCGTGATCCTTTTTCTGATCGTTCCCTAGGAAGAGAGTGTTAAAGATAAGGATGTGAAGGTTAACGGAACACTGTGCTTCGGAGATAAACGTTTCCTTAGATTCAAGGATTCGATTCATCGGGATTGTTTTAATTGTTTTGTGTGCAATTGGTGAAGTTCGTTTGGAGTTTACTCTTGAAAATGTTATTATTCTATTTGGAGTGGATCTTCTTTGATTTATAGACGCCTTAGGACGAGTTCCTTAGGTTTCTCGATGCTCCAGATTTTTGTTTATTTGATGGTATCACGAAGATTGTTTTAATTGCTTTATGTGTGATTCGGGGATTTCATTTGAAATTAAATCTCAAATTTATGTTGAAGTTTATTTTATATAGTGGTTTGGAATGAGTCTTTCTTTGTTATTCGATGTGTACATGTCTTAGGATGAGTTCTATGAGATTTTGTTAATTTGGTATGAAGGTTTCACGAGGATTTAATTGCTTTTTGTGTGTTTCGTGGATTTGAATTGAAATTAAATCTCGAGATTATATTCATTTTATCTGAAGGTTTGGAGTCTTCCTTTATTATTTTATGGGTAAATTTTTTGTCCTATTTCGACGTGTCAGTATCGTAAATAAACGTGATCCTTTTTTTCAATGGTTCCATCGGAAAATTGAAGGTTGAAGAGAGTATTAATTGAGTCCTGACGATGAGGATATGGATGCTATTGGAGCGCTCTGTGTTTGGGAGAGCATTTCTTTGATTTTGGTGGATCAGAAAGGAATCAAAAAGAGGGTCGAAGATACAAGAATTTTTAAGCACTGTGAATATCGACAAAGGTGAATGGAGTGTCTCTGTTCTGTACAACTTCTACATCCGTTTTGCGAATCCTGCGTTTGTAATTAATTTATCTTGAATTTTAGAGTGAATCACATTCCATGAATCTCCAATTTAGAATGACATTGAAGAGATTTTGATGCTAGAATTCAATGTGATAGCTACTATATTAAGCATGGTCTTATGTTTCTTGTTTCATGGGATGATAGAAGGGTAAAAAGTACGTGAAAGAAATGATTGAATAGCGAAGGGCGGAGATTTAGCGTGGTGTTTCTGGGTCGACAGTTTCTTGAACTCCGATTCAGGTATCTACAGAGACTGTTTCGAATGTTCCATGCACGATTTGTACATCTCACGTGCAGTTATTATTTCAGATTTCTTAAAATAAACTCTTGTTGTAACATACCATTTTGAGAATGATTTATATTGTTAAATTTGAAATCACAAAATAACGAAACACTTTGTTCGTTTGAAAACAAGATGAAATCTAAATGAAATGAAATTTGCCTACTCCCGGTAGTTTCGTGTTTCTCAGAAGTTTGGTAAAGGTTTCTTTTATTGTAGCGTGAAGCGTCACCGAGTAAACGTTGAGGAAGTTTATCAAAGTTCGCTCTTCATCGGTTATTCCTGGTAGTCATGCTTTCTTTGGAACTTAGTATTGATCTTGGTCAGGTTCTGAAGTATCTTGTAAGATGAAGTTTGAAACATTTTGTTATTTAAATCTGTAGCTTGAACTTTATCCAATAAATTCTACATTTACTTGTGGATGTATTGGTCTCTTTATACTTGGGAGGTAAACTTGTGTCGATGCGTTTTACAAAGTGCTTGGTGAGAAACAAAATCACATCTTGTTTTTAGTATTTTCCAATGTACATAAATTGATCTTAAATCTATTAATTCGTCTTTGAAGAGCTTATGTTCGTTGAAGTGAAATTGAAATACTAATAACGTTTGATTATTTATATCCCAGTCAAATTTATATTTCTTCCTTCAAAGTATCAAATGGTCAAATTCGTAGCACGTAGCATTTAAATTATTCACAATTAAATTTCCTGATAACATAATTGAATTTTCATAAACTTCAAAGAAAATAACTCATCTCTGAAAAGGTTAAGCTTCACAGAAATCGAATAGCGATGTTACCGTTCGCTACGAGCTCTTTGATGGTGAGGGGATTGTTTCCGGTGACCTTTGAAATACCATAGGATCATGCTTGTATTAATTCGCGTATTTTTATTTCAATCATTTACTTTGGTCTTCCAGGGATTCAAGGAGCTTCAACTTCAACGAGTTCTAATCCGTTTTGAAACGAAGTTGGTGTATTTTCTCAGCAAAGTCTGCTTCTTCAAAATCTCTTCAAACTAAATCGTTCACTTGGAACCTGAGGTTGAAGAAGGTTTTCTTCTTGCTACTCTTCGTCGACTGCTTCTTCAAGTTTCCTCGAGCTCCGTTGAAACTAAATTGTTGTTCGACGCTATTAAGTTGTTCTTCTTTAGCTAACCTTGTTACCTGGTGTTGTTACCTTGTTGATATTAAAAATACAAGAAGCTTTCTTAATTGATGTTGTTTTTTGAACGTCGATATCTATATTGAGGAAATCTTGATATTGAATTTTCCTCCGCGTTGTTCCTAAATCATTCATTGCTGTCTTCTTTATCCAGTTTATAAAACTGTATAATCGTAGACTGCACGTATAAACTGTACTTTCTGAAAAAAAAAAATAAAACAGCTTCTCCTTCAATTATGAACGGATCATCATCGTAGTATAGTCGATTTTCTTGAAATAACTTCCCTTATAATTTTATTCGTTAAATTCATTCATAAAATACAGTTTCCTAAAATAATCATCTCTAAACAAATTTTAAAACTTGGAAAATTGCGAAAGTATTAGGACCTCTTAAAAATAACCCCTTTATAAACCACCCTCGGGACATTTTTACCACGCGAATATATGTTATTCAACAATAATTTTCTCAGTCTGTAAGGCAGATATAAACGTCATGTAAAATGAAAAGCCAACACTAAACTTATGTCGACTATATGTCGAATCAATTTGTAAACATAGGAACGCCTCGTAAAAACAACTAGGAAAAGAGGAAGTAACCTTGATAACAACGGCCTCCAATCGTTTCCCTTAGTTCTTGGTTACCCTGCGGCTGACTGGCTCGGTTTTCGGAATGAAAAGGGCGACGATTCGCCGAGGCTTAACGAGATTCTCTTTCTCTTCTTTTTACAGTTTCGCTATCAGAGCGAAATAACGTCGGGTGATGTCTCCGGTTCCCTTTGAAAACATTCGGCGTATCAGCGTTGCTACTGACTATTCTGTAAGCGATCCTTTTAATTAATTTCTGAAAAGGTGTATTTTTGTTGTCGCGTCGTAACATTTTCTGAAAGGAAACTAACTCCTGTCAGCGAGATCGTCGAACTTTTTTCGTGCGTTTTCCCATTTTTATCACTGCTGTTAACTTACTTGATCCCCGATTTCTTTTCGTCGAAAAACGTATTCCGAAAAAGGTTATTCGGGTAACTTGGGGTTTGGAAAATATAATTATGCTACAGTGTTTTTATTTTCATAGTTTTTCATAATTTTATCATTCGGAGTTTTTAGGCCTCATTAGTTGGATAATTTTATAATTCTTTATTTTGAGTAACTGGTTTCAACATTTTACATAATTTCTAACCCTCAGGTATAGGGAACATTAACATGTATCGCACGTTTTAGGATTTATATATATTCATATTTTACATATATTTTTTAAATAGTTTACTACAGTCTAAAAAATTTATATAAAAAATTGTTGATCCTTAATGATGAGATAATTTTATAATTTACGTTCCAGACTAAAACGTTTGCCCATCAGTTGTTTATATAGCGATCTGAGAAATGAGAAAATTCTTCATAATTAATTTAAAAATTGTCTCATATTTGAAATTATAAAGGTATGCGAGTGATTGAAAGAGTGGAAATTTCATCCCCTCGGTGTGTCCACGCGATGACGGGTTTCACGAAATCGGGCCAAAAATAAACTCCTCTTTCTCCATCACCTAACACAACATCACGAAGTTAGCCGTTCTGCTGGCTTCCAAAGAGTTTGCGGCTCGAGTTCCCTTTGACATTCTCACCCTCGGTTCGAAAGCCTCGAATTTCAATCAATGTCTGCGCCAATAATCCCCAACTTTTTCAATGCTCTCTCGTTCAGTCCATTCGATAAAAAATGCTTTCTTTGGGGACAAATTGCTCAGGACTAAAATAAACAACAAAAGAAGAAAAAGAAAAATTGATTGATCTTGACCCATGACATCTATTCATCTTGCGGCCATGTAGGCGTGTTGTATCACTGGCAAATTTAACACTTCATTTACCAGGAGCTTTATTTATTTATAGACGTTGTGATTCCAGTATCTACCTCCTGGAATTTATTAATTGTCGTGTGTCTACTCTTTTTTTCCTTTTCGAGGTGAAAAAGAAATTTTCAACAAGGCCCAGTAGCTGGGCGACTTTCTGTCATAATTGACACTTAAAGATTAATCGAACACCGGTTCTCACGACAGAGGTGTTTCTGTTTACACGCGTGGAGGCGTCGTGGAAGGAAAAGCAACCCCTTTTTCCTTCCCTTCATCGACCGTGCCGTGTCAAGGCCGCACGAGCCAAGAATCTTTCAGTCACGGTCACGAACATCGTTCTCTGTCCGTTCGACACGCTTTGCAAATCATTAGCTGCGATTACGGGCTCGCCTCCTGCTTGCTCGGCTTCATGAAATTTTTAATGGATTAGACGAGCCACGGCGGCCAAAGTGCAGAGTAAGCTAGTTTAAAAGGAAGTGTCCCTGGATAATTTAGTCTGGATAGTGATGCTTTGTTGCTAATCTAGGGAATTATTTAAACCACTCGCGAGTGTTTGTTAATTTTGATGAGAATTGGGATATCGGAGAACCGTAAAGAAGCAGGATAGTTTGATGCAAGTTACAGATGTTTTATCAGTAAGAAATTGTATTTCAAGTACTTGTTTTATTTAGCGAGGAACATTACTCGATAGTTTGGAGGGTGTGAAGCATTTGTCATTTAATTTTTATTGTATTGAAAT